GGCCGTGCGAACCGACTACGAAAACGAGTTGGCCGCAATTGTAACTACTATCCCACCAAGAAGCGTAGATCAACACTGGACAACCATTCAAAACCCAATACACTCAGCTAGTTTACACAGTTGTGGCCTGATCCGTCTATTTGTAAACCCTCCCGGACGTCTTGACGACTTTCGGGTAATCCCGGCAGACAACAAGTGTAGTAAACAGAGCCTCTCCCTGAAGTGTGAACTCACAGAGTTTGAGAGACGATCGAGAGGCCTGGTGGACGCTACGTGCAAAAGGGACGGAATCAGCAGCTGGGTATGAAAACACCCGGCACCTATTCTAGCGCATCCGTGCTACAGGCCTCAACAGACACTGCGTTAGTGAAACAGTCTGTGAAGTACACGGCACGCCAAAGTACAGTCTTCACCGACGCTTCGAACGCAGGACAGGGCACTTAAAATCGCAGTTCATCCAGCCTCCCGTGCTGGCTGCCCCAAATAGCTCTATTGAGAGTGCACCCTGGTTACTATCCACGGGATCGCCCACAGAAGCGGAGATCCTGAAACGCCACAAGGCGGTTGGATCGGACAACCTACCATCTGTCCCTTTTAAAGACAGTAGAGAAGCTCTCGTGAGAGAGCTTGCCAGACTGTTTTCATAGATATAGGAGAACGAAACTGTATTCCATAGGTGGAGAGAATCGATTGTTACACCCACCTACAAGAACTGTCGCGACGCCTGTTTCAACCTCGGGGACATAAGTCTGATTCCACCGACGCACCGAAGCCGTTAGCGTCCGTTTTACTACGCATACTAAGCCCATTTCGCAAAAGACAAATTCGCAAAGGGCAGGCCGGGTTTCGTGCACGCCGTGGTTACATAGATCCAATCTTCACTCTTCGTCAGCCACTAGAAAACCGCCACACAGACGAGAAACTATTGTCGTGTTTTTGGACATCAGAGTGGACTTTAATCACATCGATCGACCCGCACTATGGAACTGTTTGCGGATATACGGAGTACCCGAAAAGTATGTACTGCTTCTAAAAAGATTCTACCGCCAGACCCCGGGGAAGGTTAAGGCCTATGGTGAACTTTCACCCTCATTTCCTGTCACCAATGGGATATTTCAAGGTTGCCCTATCCCTCCGTTTCTCTTCAACTTTGCCATAGATGACGTTCTATGAAACGCATTACCTAACGAAACGAACGTTGGCTTCGAGCTTCTTCCTAGAGACAAAGTCGTACACTTAGAGTATACTAATGATATTGTTTAATTCGGTGACAATACACCGACGATTCAAGACTCGCTGAATCGTTTGACCATTGAGGCTACTCGTTATGGCATATCTTCTTCACACTTCACACTTAAGAAGTTGTTGCAAGATTTGCAGGAACCCGTTTCTGCACTCTCGTTGGGTAACCACACTGTGAAGTAGTCAAACGCTTTGTTTATCTCGGGAATTATATAACTCCTGGCTGCATAACTGTTCGAGATCTCTCAAATCGTAATCAAAGCTAGATTAGCGTTTGCTAATCTGCGACATCTCTGGCGCCGGCAAAACATATCACTTTCACTGAAAGGGCGTGTGTATTGCACAACGGTATACGCCGTCTTGCTCTATGGCTGCAAAAGCCTGGTCTCTCCGAGTAGATCATGTCCAGAGACTGTACATATTCGACAACCGTTGTCTGCGCGACATAGCCCGCGTACGGTGGGGGCATCGTGTGAATAACGATGATCTCAGATGACGTATGTTAGGATCAGATAATCTTCCATTGAGGAAAACATCGTGTTAGGTGGCTAGGGCACGTCCCACGAATGCCTGAGCAACGTCTGCCATACCGTGCGCTGGTTGCAGATATTGGTCCAGGCTGGAAGAAACAGTGAAGTGGGCAGGCTATGAAGCGGTGTAGATGTTTGAATAGATTCTGCTCGAGGTCGGCTCGCGTCATGGTTTCCCGGCTCTCCGACTGCTACTCCAAAGATTCAGATTGCCTTTGGATGGAGACACTGCGGAATATGGCATCGAACCAAAGTCAGTGGCGTGAATGCATCTCTTCCTGTGTGCAATCTCGAAAGTAAAACCAAAAAGTCAAAACGGTGTGCATTAAACAGGCAAAAAAAGTTGTTATCCGCAATGTAGATTTTGTGTTGCTTTTTTACTTTTTCTATTTCTGCATTTTGCATTCAATCCATGATTATTTTGGCGCTGTCTGTGTAAAGACAGGTTTTAAATGTATAAATACGTATGGATATTTTCAAAGACAATGACGTCTGAGCCACAAGTTCACGTGGGCGGGTAGTCAGCTGCTGAATAGCAGAAACCATTACGCTGTTGATGCGTCGGATTAACACCACAAGTAAGGTATATCATATATTTCTCACACATCTAAATCCAGACTGTGCCAAACAAATCCATTAAAAAGAAAGACGTTCCACGATTTGCAAGTGGGCCGAATACTGCCAGACTGCCCAAACCAACACAGGTGCATTGTTTTGAGGAATGCACAATCGAAGCCTTCGGTTAGCCAAGCCTGACCCGTAAGGCAGCGGGGTGATGTGCGAAAACCGCAATCCATTGGGGGCCAGTTCATTGGATCATTCGCCCTTTAGACGAGGTCAAACGTCCAATGTGCCCAATTGAGTCCGTGACCACTGCCACAACCAGGAAGTTGTGTGTGGTTCGTACGCCTCTTTTTGGTTAATTTGGAATCAGGGTTTTTGGCCAACTCCCCTAGGTGAACTACCAGTGGTCCACCAACCCGGTTATAGTCCCGGATATCGACTTTTCGTTCTCTCACTTCGGTGAGAAAACACCGCCATGAGAGGGCAGTGAGTAGGGTTTCCCCGCCAGAGGTTATTTCAGACGCTTGGTCGTACGGGAGTATTTTGCGGGGAGCAAGGGAAGGGTGACCAACCGCAACCCTGGATACCCAGCACCGACCATACTGAGGCTTTCGGGGTCTAACCAGAAGTTGGTCTAAGACACTGGGTCTCTCAAGAGTCAGTAGTTCTGATGGACTAAAAGCGAAAGATCCGAATCTGCCACGATCAACATAGGAATCAGCGGGTTTTGCAACGTCACCTCAGGAGAATACTTATTCTTGACGGTTAGATTATCAGACTATACTTCTTCAAAATGCACGTGGCAAGAGCATTATTAATTATTCCACTGCCCGCGATGCTTCGTACTTGCAAGACAATATGATACCTTCCATATGGCAGATAGAAACGGAGGCGGATATTCCAGTTTGGTCCCCGCATAACGGTACAACACCACTACCACACAATGCTCTCAAGGTGGTGGATCGGCCGAGGAGAACGAGAGGAACGGTCTCAAAAATCACCATATCCGTCTTTCCTAGATTTCCTTCTGTGCAGATATACAAAGCGAACAGATTATCCCCGTGAATCATTGACGAGCTACAACAGAGCATCGTTGCAGTGCCAAACTAATGCGCAATCTTCTAATCTGAAGGACGAAGAAAACAGTCTACTTCGTAATTGTTTGAGCAAATAATTTGATGGAAGACATAATAAACACCCTTAAATAGAGAAAAAATCGAATTCGAGCGTTAAAACGGTCAGAGGGGAATGTGAATTGCACATTTTTCACGAGTAAGAACGAAAAAACGATGTGAAACGAACGAGAATCCGTTCGACACTTCAAAACTGAAACCCAGATAGCGTGAAACATGGCTCAAGTAGGGATCTAATTGAAGCTTTGTTTCTTTCTCTCTTTTCCCACATCAATACCACAATTCAGGTACATTTGGGCATTACTTTGACCGAAATGAAAAAAGCCAGTATGATCCAACCGCAAACCCAGTGGAACACGCTCAACACGACCGCCGCCGCCCGTTCGATCAGCCAACTACCGTCCGGCGAACAGACCCAATCGCACGGGGAACGTATCAAAACAGAACGTTAGTGTCCGCCCGTTGCGGTAGTCCAAAAATAACACGAACTCGAGGTTACGAAGCGAACTATTTCCACCCTGCTAACCCATTTCATACAGTTTTACCGTTTGTACAGATCCTGTTCCTCCAACATACATGTTATTTCTGACCCCAAAATATTTTGTGGAAAGCGGGGAGGGCGGGAGGGTTGCTGGAAGGAGACGAAACACGTCTAACCCAAAAATAACCAAAACAGCAGGCTGTTTATCCAGAAAGAAATCGCCTTCATCATCAGCAAATATATGAACCGGGGCACACAAGGATGCATTAAACAAGAGAATGAAGTAATGTTCCGAATAGAGGCAAAAGGTTTCAAGATGACCATGGATTAAATCCCCGTTAACGGTGGAGGTCATGTCAGGCAGGAACAAAATAACACAAATAAATCGATTGTAAGCGCTTTTCTCACATTTCCAACGCTCGAGTTCGAGACCGGAAGGAAGCGTCAGAAACAGAATAGGGAGACACATTCAGCGCACAATCGATCCAATCGGTAATTCTTCCGGGCCGAGAACCCAATCGGGAGCGGACGAAACAGTACCCAGGCGCCAGTCACGCCACACAACGCATCGATCCGGGGCGCCCAGAAGCAAATCCGGACTGATTCGATCCCACAATTTCGTTTTGGGCCCGATCACGGTGTCCGGATCACGTGTCTGCTCGGCAGTCGATGCAGTCGGGTTGTGAAACACCAACCGCGAACCCAGACCGAATGTGGTCATTTGTTCAGGAAGAATGTGTATGGGACGAACCAATCGATTGGTTTTCGGATCTTCTGTGGAATCAGACAACTGGTATGTGCCACACAAAAGCATCGCCTGTGTGTGGGTGTAGATAATGAAGGAGAATAGAGAAGGGGGAGTATAAAATCAATAATGTGAATAATGGCTGAGGAAACAAATTCTACTTTTGATCAGAATGAACGACGCGGACATTGTTAGATGAATGAATTGGTCGATCAAATACCCTTTTCTGAGGAAGTCCCAGCTTTACATGGTTGAAGTGCTTCCTTCACCAAAATAGGAAGATGAAAGCCAACACTCGAGACTATGATCATATCGGTAAACCACCTGCAGTGTACCTAGAGGAGTGAAAAATCAATTAATCAATCAAGAAGCGAAGATATCGCACCTTCTTGATTCCCACAATGACCGTTAGCTCGGGAAATAGAAACCAGGTGAACCTTGTGGTAGTGATCGTTTCTATGCCACAAGTGGTATTAGCTGTTAAATCATTCAAAAAGGAGTGTCTTTTTCGGCGACGTCTTTCCGAATCGACAACTGGAAACTTCAGTCCACAGAGCAGTGTGGGGTCATGGTTTACTGGCGAGGCGAGGGGTCATGATATTCAGACTTCAGCTACACTAACTCAAATTTGATTTACATTTTACATTTTTACACCTTGAGTATTTTAGATGTATCTCTTAACACGGTTTTATGGTTACCTAGATAATGCGTGCAGGATAACCGTTCACCCGACCAGGTTTGCTTCATTAGTACAAAATCAAGTTGACTTCATAATTTAAAATCTCATGGAAACCGTCATGCTCCCAACCCTCTGCTTTACTCACTCACACATACACACACACAGTGTTTGAGACTATCACACACTTAGCTACCAGTATGATCAGACTCAAAGTTCCTAGTTTATCCGAGAGTAGGGAAGCACGTGGTCCCAGAGTCTCAGACGCAGGGACGGATTTGTTGAATATTGGCAACGAGAAAAAACCGTTCGAGACTCACGTACCTGAGATTCAATGCCGCGCATACGAACCGGTTTCAGATTGGTGACGAACACGCCGTAAAGACCTTCCAATTTTTCCACCGGATAAAGCCCAGCCAGTCCACTGACGACGGTACGTTCGCCCAGTTGCGGTCCAAAATCCACCTGTTCCACATAGAGACTGTCTGCGTCCGGGTGCTTAACGAGAGAGGAGAATTCAACGGAAATGCGAGGGCGGAGAGTGGATGAGAGAAAACAATCAGGGCTTTATGGACCAATTGACAAAAAATCCGGGCATCATCTGTTTCTCAATTTATAGGTTGAAGAAAGAGGAAAATGGGAACGATACCGATGTCGCATCCTTCGATTGGCTGAACTATACTCTCGTGCTTGTTCCTCACGTTGGACTTTATCGTTGCCTCA